TGTATATATAATTTGGTTGAAGCAGTAAAAATATTTACCAAAATATAAATATTAAAGTTACTCTTGGAATAATATATTATGGCACAGAGAAACATTTACTGTAATATTAAAGCCCTATTTCAGTTCTGAAATTGTTGTAAAAATGATAAAATGTGTTTACCTAACTGTTGTACATATGTCTTTAAAATCAAAATATATTTAGTAAAAAGATAATAAATTAATTTGATAACATCCACTTGTAAATAACAGCATATGGTGCTTGATAGTACCAGAGACATATAATATGTATTATATGTCTCTGATAGTACCTATAAGTTTGTTCATGAAAAGTGTCAACAAAGGGACGTAACTCGTAAATTACTATCGGCACCCCTTCGTCAGAAATATCGACACATCGAAGTGGCACATTTGCGTATTACAGCGTATTAAGTGGCACAAATTTGACACGGGCCAGTTTATAAAAAGCCTCATCACATATTTTAATATTCAGCATAGGTTCCCCAGAAGTTAAGAAAGAAATTTCAACTGATGTGTTGAAAAAACTTGACGCGACGAGTGACGACCTTTGGTTTGAAGACTTCGTACTCTAATTAAGTACTCTTAATCAAAACAATTTTTATGTGAGAACTTCTAAAAAGTATACACAATTGGCATTTGTAACGTACAGCATGCTTTGGTTTCATTTGATATGACTTTTTGGAGGAAACAGAGTCGTTTCAGTTGAAGAAAAAATGACCCAAAAAATGCCCAAATATGGTAGTCACATGACTTCCATTGTTGCTTTAAGAAATGGGGTCAAACCGGGGTCAGCTTTGAATTCCGACTGTTATTTCTATTTCATTTTCATTAATTACTTATTTACGTTTGGTGAGAAAGTAGTGGGAGACTTTCTACTATGCAAATCTATTAGGAAAGAGAATATTTCTGTCAACTCCATGCATAAAAATTAAAGCATCAATTTAGATTGCATCACATTTTTAATTAGTATCGTATTCTTTGAATAAGAGTGATTAAAATGCAAGTCTGAAAGAGATTGGTTTAAGTTCAAAGGACAACCCTTTTGCAGGATTCCTTGATTCATCACACAAAAAAATGATATTCCCAACAATGAATGAGTTTTTTTTTAATCATCTTAAGGTGGTGCACAGACAGTATAAAATTTCCTTACCTTATTGTTTTAGTTAACGTCAAACATTTTACTTAAAGTGAAAAATTAATCCAGTCAAATTTACAGCTGAACTCGCCATTGGTTTTTTAAACAAACACACTAAATGACACTAAATCTGTGTACATTCTGTTCAGATGCATGTTGACATCGATGTGTAAAACCAAAAAACTACAATGTCAAAAAATGTCTTTCTTTTGGAATTTAGTTCAAACGGGGTTTCCTAAGGGGTGACAGAACGTTAGACTTTATTTTTTTTTAACTTTGAGATACGTATTATTAATTTGTTTTATAGTATAGATCTATATGATCTTTGTTTATCTGTGAAAAAAGAAGAAAAAATAACTGACAATTTCGAATAACTTATTAACGTAATTGTTAAAGGAGGGCCAATTTAGGTATTATTTTCTTTAATAATAACACACATGCTTAAAATATAGAAAGAAATCGATTTCTGACCCCAATGGCATGTTAGAAATAGAAAATAAAAAAAATTCCAAATGTTGCCGCCAAAATATTTTTTCCGCGAAACTAACGCAATTTCAGAAAGTAGCAACAACGGTCGTTTCTAAGGGCTTGCTTTCCGACTGAACAATTCATGTAAAATGAAGAAAAGGAACACTCCTCTGAAAATCGTATTGGAAAAATACATGTCATAATCAAACCCAGAGGTAAAATTCTTTCAGATATTCATCTGTTAAATTTACGATAAGATACTGATAGCTAGGTCACGTATAATGTACATGTAATCATTAAGGGCATACGATACAGTAGAGATCCCTCGTTGATTTTTTCTTTAAATTTTGGTAGAAGGTCAATTTCGATGTGTACTTTTGAAATATGCAAAGAAAAATATACCTTCATGACTTACTTTTTGAGATAATTTGGTTTGAAATTTGCATATTTGAAGGAAAAACCCTGAAATTTCATAAATAAGGACTTTTAAGGAAAGTACCAATACTTTTGAACGAGCAGTCATAATTTAACCGGGTTTTTTGTAAAATGTTCCCTTGATCCATGGCATCAGCATACTGTAACAAGATAACGGTTGAAGTGAATAATTATATCATGAATTCTTTTAATACAACTGATATAAAGAAGTTGAAAATATTTTTGCGTCTATACACAGAAGTGCAGAAAAAATTCTATCGTTGATTTTTTCTTAAAATTTTGGCGGAGCGTTCTTGAAACAGAACTTGATAGATTGCAAAAGAAAAAACTGGGGGTCCATGTGCTTGTTTTTTCAATAAAAGCAATAAACCTTAGTTTTTAATGGCAAACGGGACCTTTGTCAATAAGGCGCCAAACTACGTTGAAATAAGTTTTATTCGCAACAACGTCGTGAAATCTTTCCCGCCGTTCACTAACTACTACGTTGTCAATTTCAGTGGTAGAGCCAAGTTTTTTTTTTTGAAAGCAATGATATTAATCATGAAAATTAATAAAGCTGGTTACTCGTAAAATAGCATAGAATATTTGCCAAACCTTAATGAATTGTTACGAAACTTGGATAGAAAAAGTATTCTAGTAAATTACTTTTAGAAAAGAAAGGTTCGGAAACAAAACAGATACATCTAATAAAAAAATTAATTTGCATCTCTATCCGACATTAGTCATACAATTCATGTAGACAACAAAGCTTTAGCATAGTTTATATTATTCAAAAGCCCCGGCATGACAAAATGTGCAACAATTATAAAGTAAGGGGGATGATATAAAAAATAAGGGCATTTGGTATGATTGCAAAAGAGACAACTACAATGTATCAACCATAGTTCAAATGACGAAGATAAACGCTATTAAAGGTCACCCTACAGCCTTCAACACAAAAAAAAAAGAAAAAGAAAAAGCCACACCGTATAGTCAGCTTTAAAAAGCCCCGACATGAAAATGTGAAATAATCAAACAAGAAAACTAACGACCTACTCTATAGGCATTACATGAACACAAAATCATACCCACATTAAATCGGGTTAGCTTAGCTTAGTCCTTGACCTGATTTCAGTGTAGTATAACATTTCATAGGAAGTACAGCAGTCGATATTAGAGCATGAAATTTAATGATTCTGTATCAATAGATAAGTTACCTAAGCTTGTCTTCGGGGTATTTTTTTATTACGGTAAATATAATCATTGAATTACTTGTCTGTATTATACCTTCAATCTAGGAGTGAGTGCAACCACATTGTTTGTCCGGTCTAACAAATATTTTGTTTCTTATTTGAGAAATTACATTACAAAAACACTTCGTATTTAATCAGTAACTTAACATCAATGACTTGCAACTCTGGTCTGTCAAATACCTAATTCCTGTGTGCCAATTTTACTCTCTCAATATGACATATGGGGATATGCTTAGCACATCAACGGGTGCGTTTTTGTTTTTGGTCTATAATACGGGGCTTATAACTGTGTCATTTTAACTGACAGTTTCTCCATACACATATATATTCAACTGGGTTAAATTCTAAAAAATGCCGTTAAACTCTTTAATGTACCTTTCCAAAGTCAGGATCAGTATGATGCGCTGTCATTATTTATTACGTTTTATGTCATTTTGTTGATAGTCTCTGTTTATACGTACAATTCTAATTACGATTTAGAGTTTGCCAAATGGTAAAGTTACTATATACATCACTTATTGTTTTTATTTGTGTAGTTGGGTTTCTCCCTCATCGACATCTTATGTTTTACATATCTCGTATTCTTTTCCTATATGAAACAATAGACATACAAAAATAAGAATGTGGATTTGATTTTTTTTCCCATTCGAAGTTAATATTGTTGACTTCCTTATTAATGAATAAATATAACAATTGTCGTGATTTGGCCGATTTTCATTGCAGGTACTTTTTTCAAATTCGCGCAATCGGGATTATGACGTCAGTGGATTTTCCGCAAATGTGAATACATCTGAAGCGACGTCGCCAAATGTAATCGTTCTTATTAGAAACATCGCGAAATTACAACGTTCCGATTACCAACATCGCGAAAACAACACGAAAAGTTTTGAAAACGTTATTATCTGCCCCTGCTACTGTATCGTATGCCCTTAAGGTGGGCATTTAGAAAATCACGTGATAGATTTTAAGATACGCGATATTCTTCATCTTACCATGTTCACAAAATTGTTCCAAATTGACGTAAACTTCAATTGATGGTTTTGCATGATGAGTCGAAACTTAAAAACGCATCCAACAAAATAAAGTTGTTGTCAAGAAACAATCTGTTGAGATTCGTCGAGTAACACTTGTATGTTATTTTATTGGAAATATCTATTCCCGTACTCGTGCTTTTAAAATTGAAACATTGATCAACAGTTTTTTTGTTGTTAATTCGGGGTTAGACTGGCAAGATGTTTTTAAAGAAATTAATGAAAACGAATCCCCCCAAAATTGGTCTTCTCTGCACTATCATTAAAATCACAATCACGTATTTGTATATTAAAATGCAATCTGTTGTTAAATATCTTTTTCATTAACATAATTACATTAAAAAGCAAAAAAAAGAAAAAAAGAAACTTTGAGGAACGGTCAGTGTTTTCATACACTTGACATACTTCAAATATTTGAAATTTGTATAATGGCTATGAAGGCAGATACATATTTGTATTTCTTTTATCTTTCAACAAAACAAAAAATACAAATAAAACGGGAAAAATGTAAATATACAAATTTTATGTAACAACGTCGACAGAATGTCAAATTCATAAACACAATCACATTTATTTACGTTGTAAAGTATATTAACTTCTAATATTTTACATGTATTTCTTATTTGAATTTCGTGTTATTATTGTGACGATCATGTTTACATTTATTACTTAAATATTTAGATCCGCTTCGACCCAGAAAAAGTACACGATTCCCTTAGGGCCAGGACATTAAATTCTTGAAAACAACCAGATGCCCATGTTCTTTTATTATAAAGCTAATGATTGAACAATGATGACCACAAGAGATTAGCTGTTATAATTTACAGATTCAGGTTTAAGGTGAGTTTGAAAATATTGAAAGATAAATAATTCACTATTACATACATTTTTATAAAAGTCTGAAAGTTTTAGACACCATTTTCTACATAAGGAAATACTGCACCAAGTCAGGAATATGACAGTTGTTTTCCATTCGTTTTATGTGTTTGAGCTTTTGATTTTGTAGTTTGATAAAGGACTTTCCGTTTTGAATTTTCCTTGGAGTTCAGTATTTTTGTTATTATATTTTTTGAATTCGGAAAAATTTATACAACCTTTCTGTTTATTTATTCAAATTTAAACATACAATCTATAAATCCATAACGATGGCTTATGTACTTGATGATAAAGAAGATTAGCTGAAATCCATAAAAATTGAAAAATAAATCATAAATAATATTAAAAAAATTATTAATTTCAGACATGACTGCATTAAAGTTACCAGTTTTATTAGTATGTTTGCTTGCAATACATCACACGGTGGCTGCACCGGCATCACAGATAAGAAAGAAGTTCCACGTGCCAACAGACGGATCATGTGATTCTACATCTTTGTTGAGATGTCTGGTGAGCTCGACTACTACATTATATGATGAATGTGTTACCAAGTGTGAGAAAAACTATGATACAAGACACAAATGCCAAAAAGTCTGTTATGAAAGAGGTTATACAACACTTGAAGCTTGTATAATAAAATTTAGCATCAGAGCTAAGTATGAGTTTTAGTGACGATTTACGATTGAATATTACGATTCCGGATTTGTGGCGATTGGAACTTTGAACATAAAAAGTTATATTTATTTAGCATATCTGACTTGCTTTATAAGTTCATACGAACAACCAATACTGCTGCCTTTATGAGAATTTCGTATAAAAATATGTTTGAATTTTTGCTTAACGGTATGTTATGTGTATTTCATACCATATTTAAGAGGTAATCGTATATTTACTTTGAAAAATCCATTTTTGTTTATATTTTTGATATAAGTAGTGTTGATAGAAAAAGGGTAATCCTTCTATTTTATATTTTGCATAGGGAAAAATTAAAATTGTAGTTTTGTCGTCATGAGCAATTTTTGAAACCGCCGGCCTTATGCCATGGTTGTGATTTAAAAAACATTATTTTAAAGGTGAGTAAATAGATTTTCTTTTAAGGTGGCTCGGGAGTCTTCCTCCATTTTGGATTTTGAAATAGCATATAACGTTGGTCTAGATCTTTGATGAAATGTGCAAATTTTGAGAGTAGTATGTAATTTATGTGTAAGACTTGATGTAAATATAGAAAATTGTGGGTTTTATCATAATTACAGCTGTAATTTCTAAAAAAAACACCTTATTTGTGTTTGATTAATTTTTTTTTAACTTTGCCAAATAAGGGGAGATAACTCAGATAAAGTAATTTTTATAATAGAAATTGTTGTAAATTTACCTATTTTAATCTGCAGCAAGAAAACAAGTTCGGTGACCCCATTTTTTCTTTTTCTTATCTGAAAGCATGTAATAAGAGCTATCTTCTCACATTTTATCTTAAAATTCTATCATGCAGTTTTCTTTTTATCACACACAATTTGATTTTCCATGCATAATCTATACAAAATCTGACAATTTTGCACAACCTGTAGCGTAAAAAAAAGTCTGGTGACCCATACTTTTTATTATATTTTTGAAAAAAGCATGATAAAAACTTCATTATGACAAATTATTAAAAAATTCTATCAGTTTTAATTAAGACACCCCATCTACCTTAAAAGGGCACTTGAAAACAAGCTAAATTTCTCGAATTCAGTGTAGAGAGTAGCTTGAAATAACTCTCTCATTAGGTCTTTATCGCTTTTATTTAGTTTATTGAAGGATGTTCTTGTCCATGAAATTCACATAATCATTTTGTCTTTATTTTATTTAACAAGGCGTATTTAATTTTACGAGACCAAATTTATAAGTTACACATCATTAAGATTTGTTAACTTTTTCAAATGTTACTGTTTTCAAATGAATTTTCATGACATGTGTGAGTGTTGCATCCTTTAAACAACTGTTACATTGGAAACAAATCGAATTATTGTTTCCTGACGAAAATTTGTGTGATGTTTTATGATAAAGACAATTGAAAAGTGTGCGTTAGTATAAAATTATAAATCATCTTATTGAGTAAATGAACTGCTATAATTCATTTAATTAGAAATTCATTACTTCAACATTTGAATACGTTAATAAACCAGTTTATTCATTTACAATGTTTTTTTTTTTGTTTTTTCGATGATTTATTTCAATTACATGTAAATAAGACTCATGTTATTAGTAGTATACCTATGGGAAATTCTGCACTCTTACGAATCTCATAAATGCATCAGGGGATATCGGGGGCATTTCTAATGTATCACCAGCCTGTCAACACTGAGGTTGTGAGATCGAACCCTGCACGTGGCAGGTGCACTTGACTCAGTCCAATCTTAATTGACAAGGATTGCCAGTTTTACAGCCGAAGGTCGGCGGTTCTCCCCAGGCACTCCTGCTTCCTCCAACAATAAAAACTGGCCGTTACAAAATAGCGAATAGTCCTGAAAGTGGGTTTAAACACCAGAAATCAACGAATCAATCACAAATGCTTTACTATGCCACGGAGTTTAAAACTTGCTACTTATTTTTAGTATTCAAACACACAGACAATACATAAGCAGAGTAGCCACCTGATACAAAATACCAAAAATAAGAAGTATTATAAAGACCTAGTTGTCTACAATATCTCCTTTTTGATACATACTTCTAAGCAAAAATTAATTTTTTTATTGCATGCTTATTCCCCAAGCGTTTGATTGTAAGGCTAGAATCAAATTGCGCCAATTGCTGTTTTGAAAAAGTATTTCCTTTTTTCTGATGGTATATTAATTGCGCCAATGGAATCAAATTGCGCCTCATTTACCTGTATATTTGTTTACCCATATCATACATGTAATATGTACTTTAATTAACATATCGACTTTAAATGTAAAGATTTGTGATATATTGTTCAAGAAAAGAGTCTGATAGTGGGAAACCTATCATCGTTGTAGAAAATCACAAATCCCGTCTGACATTTTTTTAAACAAAAAATGGAGAAATTAGATGGAGACGTAGAGTGCATTTCTTTCTAATACAAACGATGCAAACGGCTAAGCGCGCACATGTTTTGATCATTTGTTACTAACATACGTTTGCAAAGTTTACATAAACTTTGACAAACTATGCACTCGCTAAAAATGCGTCTACAGTTTGTCGTTCATCGTTTGTTAGTACAAACGCTACATTTGTTTCTAACTTCAACCTGATTAAACGATGTATTTGTTTCTACATTTGCAAAAAGTCTGTTTACCAACAACATGTGCATGCATTATTGGAAGTTCAAACAGGGTCAGTAAACACTGATTTAACGATGTATTTGTTTCTACTTTTGTAGCGTTTAGAAAACAACAACAAACGCCACACAACGTTTACAAAATTTTGGTTAGAAAGAAATGCACTTGTAGTACAGTGAAGTCGTGTTGTGCTAGGCTATTTACAGATGAATCTTGTGCAGTTATTTTGAGTTGGGAATTAAACCATATACATGAAAATAATACCCAGAAACTAGAAAAAACATGCAGATTTTGAGAACAGTATGCAAGCAAAAAGCAACTGATATGTTACCTTTTAAAATAATTAAGTAGATATATATAAGTAAAAATAAATAAATTGATAAAATTGGTACAATTGTATGATTGTTTTATTGGGGCAAATGAAACCTATAGTTTTCAAAATGAAGTGGCGCAGAAGTAGTATTAGCGCAAATAAGTTGTGACGCAAATGAATTCATTTTTGGCGCAACTAGATAGCGGCCAATTATAAAAAGTATCTATTATACTTAAATTATCTGCAATTCTGTCGTTGCTTGATTACATACTTACGTTTCTAAAACTGGCAAAACATACCCTTATAAATACTCGGTACATTTTATATTTTTATTGCCTTCTTAGTTATTTTCAATCGTATATTTATTTAGGTACAGGTACTTTCGACGGTATTTCGACTGAACATACATATAACCTTCGGACATAAGAGATGTATATGTTTAAAGATCTTATTACGAAGCTGATAGGGACATAACATATGATCTTTTTATCTCTGTTCGTTCGATTCCGGGGTAAAACTGATTCCGGGGTAAAACTGGATTATATAATTATTTTATCGAGAGTAAAAATTCATTGTATGAGGTAACGACTATTTATACAAACAATTGCGAAAGAGAATGACTTTATGATTATATACTAACTATAATTCAGTTAAAACGGTTTTTATTAACGTTTGATCTCATGCTTCTAGATACTTACTTTCCATTCTTAATACTGCGGATCAATTAAACTTCATGTAGATGAGACAAAGTAAAAGTTGTTAGGAGTGTTGTTTTAATTATTGGTTTCTTGACCTACAGTATTCAACAAAAAGCTGTGGCTACCTTATATAGCTTCCCATAGTAGAGAGCACATTTTGACCCGGCTAGCCTTCTTTTATTTTCTATTTTAAGTTAGTGGCTATGCTGCTGATAGCTGGACTGTGCAGAGTTTATAATTTGCCTCGTTTTTACGACATATGGTCTAGGTTAGGCAAATGGGACGGTTTGTGTGCTTGTAAACTTGGTTTCTCCCCACACATTTTGTTCTTGTACCACGAAAGGCTGTCGATGTTGTTCATCGCTTTTTTACGTCTACGTTTTTTTTGAGAAGTTGCAGTGATGAAAAAGCTAACTTCAGAATTGCAGAGTAATTTTGTTATACGGATGTCTTTCTAAATATCTTATCCACTTAAAAGAGGAAGTTCACAAGTCAAAAATATCATCAAATATTAGAGAATTACCAATATACCAAAGAGACAGCGCTTTTACTGCAGTTATTCAAAAGTTACTAAGGTCAGACTATCGAACTATGATTTGAAAATTAACAATTTACAGCATAGCTAAGGTGGCCTCTAGTGTCAACTTTAAAGGCGGTTCTTTTAATATACATATGTTTTAGAAGCACAATATTCGGGAATAATCAATGAATTCCACGTAACACTGGTTAATTTAAAAATAAGAAGATGTGATATGATTTCCAATGAAACAATTCTCCACCAGAGATCAAATGACAAAGAAGTCTGACAACAACTTAGGTCAATGTACGATCTTCAACAATGAGCTAAACCCATACTGCATAGTAAGCTATAAAAGGCCATCAAAAGAAAAATGTAAAATCGTTCAAGCAGTAAAAATTGAGGCCTGATTTATATACAAAACAATAAACAAAAAACAAATATGAAAGACAGCAACAAACGACAACCACTGAATTACAGACTCCTGACTTGGGACAGGTACACACAGAATGTGGCAGGGTTAAACATGTTTGCTGGCGCCGCCCCCTAACCTTGGACAGTAGTGAAAATGTACACTATCGTCTTGGTACCTGTTTTGACGCGGACCAGAAATGACGCACCGATTTAGTTAACGGTTTTATATTTCTAAACAAAAGCCGTGACGTCATCAACATTTGCTGTTCATAACATGTTGTTGAAGGTTATCTGACTACAACAAAGATGCCTAAAACTCTGCCCAGAAATGTTATTATTGCTCAAAATATTTAAAGACAATGCAATTTCCGCCATTTTATTAAGGTCAAAAAAATTCTACCCTTCCCCGAAAGATTATCAGTCCTATCTCCACTTTGGTCAAGAAAAGTATGTAACCGTATGCTTCCCCATTTTGTGTTTTTCAAATCACGTGACTGTCATGTTACATGGCTTTACATTCAAGCGGGAATCACTGTAGAACAAATGATCGTCGCTTTTATAATTTTCTATGGTTTATCGATTTTTTTCATTCAATGTATGAAGTATACATATGTACATTGATAAATGTATTATTGTCAATGTTGTTTTATGAATGCAATTACTTTTTATTTTCAAATATATGGAATATGTATATCACTTTCATAAATTTTGGACAATTATATATCAAAATATAGGTTACAATTAAATTGTTAAAAAATTTGGTGTTACAATCATCATGATCATTAAAGTGAATGAAATTTCAAAAGTTGTTAATAAAATTGAATCTGTTGAACAGTTTTAACTTTAAAGAATCCGGATTGAAACAATTTTTCGATTATCAGTTACGTACAAGTGGTTTTTACTGGTTTGTTTACAGTGCGTCATTACTGGTACCCATCATTAGTTGGCAGTCCGTTCGTAATGTTAGCAAACATGAGTTTTATTGCTGTTACCGTTTCAAATATGAACTGTTTAATGACTGAAATATATTAACAAGTTATCAATCTTTTATTCCATTCCGTTTTTCTAATTCTTTTAAATGGTGGATTAAATGCAGAGACAAAAACAACCTTAGGTGCGTCATTACTGGTTCCTCGGGGATATAAGAACAAACTAAAAAAATCAGTTGAAAACGGCCTAACTCATTCGACAGTACTCGCAGTTACCGAAAGCTAGTTCAAAACCAATAACAACTAATGAAAAATGCATGTATCTAAGGCTAAAATAGGAATCAGTACAGTTGGAAAGCAGGTCACGGTTTGACCCCAAGTCTATCAGCAACAATAGAGTCACGTGACCGTGAAAATTCTGTAAAACAACGACTGAGACAAACCTCACTTTTACTCAATAAAATGCCACTGTCATGATAAAAACTTATTAATCTAAATAATCTTGAATATACATAGTTTTAACTCGTCAAAACTTACATGTCAATTAAAAGTCCTTCTTTCTTAATTTTACCTTCAAACTTGAAATTTGCGTGAAAATTGTCAAGTCTCTTGATCGAAAAATCTAAATATTTTCGAGGAAACTAAAAATGATGGGCTGAATTTAAATTTGATAAAGCATCTCATTAAGACAAACACTCGATATGAATATCTAGGCAATAGAGTTTTGGATACGCAAACGTCAAGTTATTTTCAACACGAAACGGTGTTTTTTTTTGCTGATTTGTGCAAGTGGTTATCTCCCCTTGATATCACCAGTCAAAAATAAAAACCCAGCAAAAAAAATAAATAAAAAGGAGTTTACTTTACAAAAATCAAGAAGAAAATAAATGAAATTCGATTTACAAGTATGTTATTATAATATTAAGAAGAGATACTTCCCTACTTTTCAGAGAAGGATTAGTAGTAAAAATTAGAAGACAAAAAATTGGTAAAAATTTAGAAATGTCACCCAGAAATCTAGCTGAATTGATATAAAGTAGCTCTGGCTGATGAAATTTACTATGTAATTTTTGTAATGGGATATGGGATCACACCTAGTAGAAATTTTTGTAAATACTTCTAACAATGTTTAATGCAATAAAACATACTTTATATAATTAAAAAATCTTTCTGAAATAAAAATAATAAATAATACTGATCATTTAAATGTTATATTCTAAAAAAGTGGGACCATGAGTCACAATAGTTTCTTCTATGAAAAAAAAACCTTTTAGGTCAATCCTATGTTTCTTAGTTGAACAGTACAGTACTGCCTAGAAAATATCCTACAGAAAAAGGATCTG